ACCCTGCATTGCGGGCTTGTCCTTGCTAAGTAGGAGGCAAAAAAACCCTAAACCCTACACCCTAAACCCTAAACCCCAAAAACAACCGAAACCCAAAAAGCCAAGGCTCGCAGATAGCCGAGGCCGCGGGTCTCGAAGCTTTGGCTGATGCAGAGAAGGATCCTCGCTCTCCAAGAACATAGGGAGGGGGGGGGCCCTTGCACATAACCGATATGGGAGTTTCCGAAATTAGGGGACCCTAATATAGTACCCTAAGTAGTAGGATCCTTATTATAAAGGCCCCAAAATACGGTACCCCTAATTTTCGGAAACCCCCATATGTTTCTTTCGGGTTCCTTAATACAGTGAAACAGTATGGGCCAAGAGGCGGGTCCCTCACCGACGCTTTATGAGCTGGTTTACAAAGAAAGCCCCACCCCTAAACCTCCCCCCCAAATCCGAAAGTCCTACCCCGAAGCCCTAAACCCTAAACCCTAAACCCTAAACCGGTCAGGATCCTGAGATGGATCCCGAGTCTCGATGCTTTTGCGCCTTGGCCACGATGCAAGAAGGCCAAGGCTTGCAACCTCATACATGCGCCTTAGTCATGTGTATTTCTCAGGGTTCCTTGCTTTTGGCCGCAGTATAAATTCCCTGCAATACCTAGTACCTGACTTTATTTAGGGGCTTAGGCTTTCTGGCTGAGGGCACTGGGTTATGCTTTAGGGCTTTAGAGGCTGTTTGCCAAGGTGGTTTTGCCAAGGCTCAGGGTCTCAGATTTGCGGGGAGTTCACAGGGTTTGGGTTTCGAGGCTTTCTTGACAGCATCTGTTCCACTGAAAGGTTTCTTGTTGAGACCTGATTTCATGGCTGAGCTTACGGTTTACCTCCATCTAAACGAAAGATCGCGGAACCAGCCTCACAGCTGCGTTCTTGCCCAATTCCGCAAATATGGACCCTAACCCTGGCACCCTAAACCCCGACTCCATGAACGAAAGCATGAAGGGACAAAACCCCATGCGTGTATGTTCTCTCTGCCTGAGGCAACCTAGAGACGTGCTTTTGCGATCGAGATGATTGCATTGTGGAAACTTTTTCTTCGACCTTGTGATGACCTAGTCATGAGGTTGGGGGGAATAAGCCGAACTGATCCGTTATAGTCGTCTGTGAGTGCTACTATGATGCACTGGCACAAGCCTGTCTGGTATTCCTCTGGCTTTACCCTGCAATGCGGGCTTCGTCCTAGCTATGTGGGAGGCAAACAAAAACCGACCCATCCCTATCCCAGACCCAAAGCCTCCCAAACCCCAAAGGGGAGTTTCAGAAAAATAAGGGGTACCGTATTTTGGGGTCCTTATAAGAAGATCCTACTATTTGGGGTACTGTATGAGGGTCCCCTATCATCGGAAACCCCCATATGCCTAAACTTTCCTAAATCTCCGAAACCCCTATCCCAAATCCAAAACCCCAGAGCCCTCGTCCCCAAGAATCCCTGGCCCCAGCCATGTTGCCTTTTCCGGTTTAGGGTTTAGGATTTCCAAGCGCAGCGATGTAGCCAGCCGAGGCTCTATGTCCTTGGACACCCCCTTCCACACCATCACCGCTGAGCCTCTGGGTCCTCGTTAACGGTTTAAAGTTTAGGGTTTAGGGTTTAGGGTTTAGGGTTAAGGAACTGGGTCTAAGATCTCATATCAGGAGTTTACGGAGATCGATGGCTGGGTGTACTTGTTGTCCTACAAATACAGAGATATCATGCTAGGCATCTATGGAGAATGATAGGCTGGGTGTTGTTTTGATAAGGAAACAATTATATTACTGTATTAATTTTCATTAATACGGAGTTCATCATACTCTTTCCTCTTCTGGAAACCTAAGTTAAGCCCCCTAAACCCCAAATCCTCCACCAAGTTGATCATCCTGTCTCTTCCTTTGTGGTCTATGTGGGAGCTGCAGATAACAGTAACAAGGCACTTCAATGTAGATCCGCACAAAGAAGGAGGCTCTCTATAAGTACGGTAAGAACACCTAGCCATCAAAGCCCATGAAGACTCCATCTGTGCAGGGCTCACTTGGTCGAACTGTGCAAGACAGACAGAAGCCCGGCTTGTGAAATCATTCTACGACCTGTCAGCGAGTGGGAAAAGGGCACAAAAATCAGTTTAAGTGCCAAAGAAGACCCTGCGCCTGCACCCCTAACCCCGAAACCCCAACACGCGCAAACCCCAAAGCCCTCACCCCTAAACCCGAGACGCCTGAAGCCCCCACAGCCCTAAACCCTAAACGCCCTGGGCCCTGAACACCGAAGGCCCTAAACCCCAAGCCCCCCCCCCCCCAACGCCCCAAAGAATCCCAGGCATGGCCCTAAACCCTAAACCCTAAACCCCAACGCCCCATCCATGCCCCAAAGAATCCCAGGCATGGCTTGATCGCTGTCAGCTCGATGACCTCCGAGGTCCGGCTCTTTGAGGCGGAACACGCATGGGTTCAGGGCTTAGGGTTTAGGCATTGGGCTTTGGCTTCAGGGTTTAGGGCTTAGGGCTTATAGGGTTTAGGGTTTAGGGCTTATAGAGTTTAGGGTTTAGGACTAGGGTTTAGGGCTTGTAGGGTTTAGGGCTTAGGGCTTAGGGCTTTGGGTTTAGGCATTGGGCTTCGCCTTCAGGGTTTAGGGTTCAGGACTAGGGTTTGGGGTTTATGGCTTAGGACTGGGGTTC